CCAAAATTTTACGCCAAAAATGGAACATTTTCGCTTTTCTTAGTTAATCAAATATTATGCCGAAAATACCCAGTCTATCACAGACATAATTATATAAAAATGAGCCCCTTACGTAGTCCAACAAACTTTAAGAAGTGAATTTTCTCAAAAAAAAAGCATATTGTTTAAGAATTATTTTTAAATAAAAAGTTGGTATTTCATATAGTAAAAACGACCGTTTTTGTCTATCAAACAAGAATAAAATATTTTATACAGTTTTTTGGAGGTTATGCCCTTCTTAAAGTTTGTTGGGCTACGTATATATTTATGTCTGTAATTGACTGGATATTTTCGGCGTAATTTTTGATTAACTAAGAGAAGCCAAAATGTTCCATTTTTGGGGTAACATTTCGGGCCCGAATATCGCAAAATAAATTACACCATATTAATTCTGCTAAAATTTTAAGCTAATTTTGTCTTATTAAGTTTTCACCTAAACTCAACCCAATTTGAGAAAAACGCGTTTTAAATTTCAAGTTTAACGCGTTTTGTCCGGTTAATTTAAATCAGCACTGTATTTTATGACAATAATAATTTTCAAAAACTACACAAAGAACCATTTGCAGGATTTTAAGAAATCCACAAGAAAATAAAATTCACTTTTTTTAGTTTTCATTTTTTGCATTATTTCCTAATTTTTGTTCCGACTCTCGATACGAAAGTAACGGAATATTTGTGCTCGGGGTGGGTTTTTTTTTCTTCAGACAAATTTCGACTTTTTAACTAACCATTTTTGACGGAATTTTTTAAAAATCATTCGAAAGCTACTGTTGTCCTGAGCTTAAATTTGAAAGGATATTTCACCTGTGATCATTTTTTGTAAAGTTATGAGGGTTTAAAAATTGCCATTTTGGCCATTTTGACCAATTTGGGACAATTAAAGCGCGATAAAATTCGCGCTGCTAACGCGTAAGCGGAGATTTAATCCGTCTTAGAAATTGTTCCGAATTGGTTGAAAGAATCCTATTTGCCATAACTGATTTTTACGAGGAGCTAAATCTATTGATTTGTACTTTATATGGCGTGTGGGGTGATGATTTTCATAGAAAAATTTTCAAATTTTAGAAAAGTTTTTCATTTTTCTTTATTTCATTCAGTTTTTTTATGTTGTTTATGTTATTACTGCTCCACGAACGTTAAAAGGCAGTCGGAACTTTCAGGGCTTCGCCCTGATACGAGCAGTGTTGTTTATTTTTAGCTTCTTTTAAACTTGCAAATTAAGCTTTAAGATACAATGAGTTGATAAGCATGTCATTGGTATTATAACTCGTGTGTGGATATTTATCAGTAGTACATTTGAATCTTCAAAAATCTGCCTGAACTTGAACTGTTTAATCACAGAGACAAAGCTGCACTTCGAAAACACAAGCAAAACTTATAAAATGTAGCTCTAAAAAAGCAAACGCATAAAAAAAGAAAGTTTGCCATGAGAACTTTCGAATGGGCTCGAAAAATAGCATTTTTGATTATCTTTTGATCGTGAATCGGATATAAAAAAATGGTCAAAAAAGTTACCTCAGTGTCAACAAAATCAGTCTAGAGACCAAAACGCAGAATATTTGCGAAATAACTATCGCGATTTTAGTAAATTCTAATTCAATTTTAGCACTAATCAAGGTAATATAATCCATAATTTTTTCAGTTTTAGATCTAATTCAAGGGTTTTTTCTACAGAAAACAACAAACGAAACATTGGCAAAGTGGAGTTCTTCTCTTTAATCGTTGTACTTGGAGTGTTTTGGGCCACTTGCACAGCAATTTTGCTCTGCTGTTGTTTTGTGTTATGGCTGTCTGAACCCCAGTTTTTCAATTTTTTTGCTCGTCTCGAAATAGCACCTTAATTTTCAGCAGCAAAACAACATAGTCTCGACTTTGAAGTTCTAAAGATGAGCCGAGTATCTCAAAGTGGAAAGAAATTGTTTCTTTTGCACACTTTGCAAAAAAACTAATTTGATTACCCCGAAATTTTAATTAATTGCATCAAAGACTCAAAAATGTATCACGTTTCTTAATTTTGATAGAATCGATTTCAAGGGTCTTTAAGAACCCTACCTTCTGTCTGTATATAGTGGCAAAACTCCACCCCTCAAGTCGATTTCAAGGGTCTTTAAGAACCCTACCTTCTGTCTGTATATAGTGGCAAAACTCCACCCCTCAAGTCAATTAAGTAACCCTAGCTATACCGTATGAAGCCTAGTTACAAAATGAATCTTGCTAACTATTTTCCCTTATCGCAAAAAAGGGATGCAATTTGTTAATTTGTTACAGAGTACCTATTTAGTATATCTTTAATAGTTAATTTAGTTCCTAATAGAGGGGTTGCAATTTTTAATTAGGTACAATAGAGGTGGGGAATAACTTACAAGATGATCCTATGAAAATTCCCATTTTTAAATTAGGTGAAACTGTTGTTAAAACGATGAAAAAAGTAACCTTTTATTTACCTGGTATGTTTTACAGCAGCTGAAGATTTGTTTGCAGAAAATATCTTTCAATTTGTTTTGGTTTCTCAAGTGGCAAAAGAAGATATCGTGGAAGTCACTTCAGATAGAAGTTATCCCCAAGGAATATTAATATATTTGGTGGCCATTATATGTCGCATATTGACTAGTTCCAATAGAACGCATTTCTTTTTTAATTCATTCGGTGCAGCGAAGCGGATAGCATAAGCACTACAGTAGTGTTGCATAAAATTCAGATTGGTCCCGGCGGCCAAACCACTTCAATCAATATATGCAGTTCCGCTTACGTTCAAAAAAAGACTTTTCATGCCTTGAGGTTCAAGCATACAGGTATAAAAAAAACTTCCTTCTTTTATCAAACGAAACTTCCGGGCCGGGCCAAAATTAGGTTAATGTTTTGTGTAAAACATTTCCTGTGTCGTTTTTTATCAGCGGAAGAAAACAAATGTTATTATAGATGTTGTTTTTTTCTTAGTTTTTAAGCGAAATCAAAAAAAAGAATCATTTTTTTGCAAGACTATAATTTAAGTTATACTAACAAAGGAATAAATCGACCAGAAAGATCTGACGGGACAAAAAAATTCAGGATTCTGAACACTCGTTGACGAATTCAAGGCCAGCCGTTAATTCAGTTCGCAATTTATGAAACAATTGGAAAAAGATCAATTATATGACATCTAAATTTTCACTCTACCACGTTTGACTAATTATACATCAGAATAAAGACAGGAAACCAATGATTAATCAACATATTTCAAAGATTAATTATACATCGGAATAAAGACAGGAAATGAATGATGATTGAATTAACATATTTTGAAGATGAAAACTTCAAAAGAAAGTACCATAAATTTGGAAAGAATTAACAATTACGCAAATGAATATGTTCCAAAAAATGAACTAGTTCATTAACTAATTCAAACAAGACTGCTCGTATCAGGGCGAAGCCCTGAGTGTTCTGACTGCCGTTTAAGGTTTATGGAATGGAGAAGTAATAAGATAAACATCATTAACAAATAAACGTAAATAAAAAAATGAAAAAAAAAAATTCCAAAATTTGAAATTTTTTCCATGAAAATCATCCCCCCACACGCCATATAAACTACAAAAAAATAGATTTCGCTCCTTGTAACAATCAATTATGGCAAATAAGCTTCTTTCAACCAATTTGGAACAATTTCTAAGACGGATTAAATCTCATAGCGCGAAATATATGGCGCGTTAATTGTCCCAAATTAGCCAAAATGGTAATCTTTAAACCCTCATAACTTTACGAAAAATGATCACAGGTGAAATATCATTTCAAATTTAAGCTCAGGACAACAATACTTTTTGAATGATTTTTAAAAATTCAGTCAAAAATGGCTAGTTAAAAAGTCGAAATTTGTCTGAAGAAAAAAAACCCACACCGAGCACAAACATTCGTATCGAAAGTCGGAACAATTAGTTCCTACTAAATTTTCGTCTGCGCTACTTTCAAAATAATTTTCAATTAAAAATTTTTTGGCAAATTTTTTGATACTCTGAAAAGTTTTATAAACCTGAGCTCACAAACCGAAAGACCTTTTGATAAAGTTTTGGGGTGTGACGCTTGGAATAATTGTGTTTAATTTAGAATAATTACTCTGCGCAAATTTTCCAATTTTCTATTGGGCGTAGCAAAAAAATCCGGTTGATATCATTCTCAATTGAAATTGATGCTTGCCAATTGATCCAAAAATTGCTTAGAAGACGCACATTTTTCCAAACGTTCTGCGCTTTGCCCTGATACGAATAGTCTTGTTTATTTTGAAGGGCCAGATATGAGAACAATTAGCAAAAAAGGAGCATAACTTTGATATCACATATAGCAAAACTGCTCGTATTAAGGAAAAGCTATGAATGATCCGATTGCCCTTTAATAGTATTTGAAAAAATCATTTTTTTAACAATTGACGAAAACGAAAGTAAAGTTTTTAAAAATATTTCTCACGCCAAAATAAATTACAAAACAAGACTGCTCGTAACGGGGCAAAGCCTTGAATGTTCCGATTGCCTTTTAAGCTCTATGAAGTAGAACATTGTAACCTAAAAAAAATTAAACGTAATAAAATAAAGCGCATGTTTTTATTTGAGATTTTTTTGAAAATCATCCCCTCAAACGCCATTCGCCATTTAAACTACAAAGTGATAAAAAGTAATAAATCATTTATGAGTAGTAAAAAATCTCGCAGTAAAAAATCATTTTTGAGAAATAAGCTTCCTTCAAACAATTCGGAGCAATTCTTAAGGCGGATTAAATTTCCGCTTACGCTTTAATAGCGCGAAATATATCGCGTTAATTGTCCCAAATTGGCCAAAATGGCAATTTTTAAAGCCCCATAACTTTACGAAAAATGATCACAGGTGAAATATCTTTTCAAATTTAAGCTCAGGAAATCAATAGTTTTCGATTGATATAAAAAAAATTCCGTCCAAAAAGTTAACTTCAAAATTGATCACAGATGACATATACAGGTTTCAGATCATGCTAAAAATTCCGTTCAAAAACAGCTAGTGAAAAAGTCGAAATTGGTCTGAAGAAAAAAACACACCGAGCGCAAATAATCTGTCTTTTTCTTTGAAAGTCGGAAAAGAAGACTCTGTCTATCAGGGTGAAGCATTTCGTCTTTTTCTCTCTGGTAAAATGTCTTTAGTAGTTTTTGAAAGAAATCATCAACTTTCAAAAAACTGAGTTCTGGGTTTTTCTTTTTTTTTCTTGCAAAATTGTCCCTCCTCTCACAAACAATATGTTCAGAGTAAATTGATATACATTTTGTATCTATTACTGCATTTTTGTTTAAAACAACCAGTCCCGAGCACAAAAATTTTCTTCGAAAGTTGGGAACAAAAACATGAGCAAACAAGAGGAAAAGCTGCCCTGAAATCTAAATTTCTCCCAATAGTTTTTTTCTTGTTTTCACTTCAGGTCACTAATTTGGCCTGTAAAGTTTCCCCCGTTCTTTACACCGAAGTCTTCCTTTGAAGCAAACACGGATTGACTGTTGACTGCCAATGAGATTTTGCTGCTCGGAACATCCGCATCACAGCTCGGAACAATCGCTGCCTTGTCATGTGCGGACTTTTCATGTGCGTGAACAGTGTGGATTGCCAGGTGAACTTCGCTCTCAATCTGATAATAATCAGCTCGTTGTATAATAAAACAATGTTGAAAAACTTGAGCCTGTTTTCATCAGATAAAAAAGTACGTTGGATAAAACATTATTTCAACGCTTTTTAAAAAGATGAAACATTACTCCAACGCTTTTTAAAGGAAAGTTTTTTTTATTTCTCATCAGTTTATATGTGGGGTAGCCGTTTAGGATCTTGTTAACAATTTCTTCCCCTATTGCAAGGGGGGGTTCGTTACAAGATGCAAAATCACATCTGCTTGTGACGGATATTTAAAAAGATCGGCCATTAGTAGTGTACCTTGTTTTGACAAGACATGGATCCTTTTGCAATGACATTCTGGATGAGTTGGAGGAAGTTTGCGAAGAGGGATATGCCCAGCACCATGTAGATCCACATCATGAAACTGAACCCATATCTGTACGACAGCGCCGACCCGCTACTGTCCTACACGCAAAACAAAACAAAACACGTAAGGATACCTCAAAGAATAGAGAGCGACAGTGCAACGCTGGCCGAGGGCAAGATTGCGACATAGGCTGCGCAAAAACGCGGCATATCTGTTTTGGGTCGATCAAAGTCGCTCGCTACATATCAAAACTCTGTGGAAGAGCAAAGTTGCGACATATCCAATCACTGGCTCTTTTCCACTAACACCCCCCCCCCCCCCCCCTATGATTTTTGGGTCGCGCAAAACTTCTGAGTCGCGTGAAATTGTGACATACTTATTTTATTTTGAGTCGCGATGATGGCAGCATATCTTTTTGATTCGCTGAAAATTGAGTGGATTTTCAAATTTCAATGGTTGCACAGCAATTTTTAATTTTTGGTAGAGGAAAGTCGCAACATATTTAGTTTGGGTGGCGCAAACTCTCGAAATTAAAATTGGGTTGAAAAAAAAAACTCTTCAGACGCATAAAGTTGCAAAACACCCATTCTTAGTCGCGATAATTGCAGCATTATATTTTTTTGATTGTGCAGCCGCGCAGAATCTCTTTGGGTGAGCAGATTTACGCAGAAAGTTTCTGGTCACGCTAAAAGTTGACACACCTTTTTTTGGGTCGGGAAAAAGTCGCGACATTTGTTTTTCGGTTTGCGCAAATATCTGTGGATGTGCTAAGTTGCGATATGTTTGTTTTGCTCATTTCCGTTTCCCCTCCACTGAATTTCAGGTTTGTAAAACTGTTTTAACGTTGTCACAATGCACAGCAATTACACGGAGTCAGTAAAAAGAGACAATAATCAATTATATTACAATTACAATTGTACTTTTATCAAAATTATAATTAGTTATAAGCGCCAAATTTAGATGTTTACACGATTTATAATCCATTATAATGATAACATTTTTCGTGACAATTTAATAAATTATAATCAATTATAATTGATTATCAGTTTTCCGAAAGTCTCTTAAAATCTTTTATGATATAATAATCGCTCATAATGACTTTGGCCAAGCAAAATGCTTATTCGAATAATTTTTTCAAAATATTTTTTCCCAAGTTCCAATAGTTTTTTCAGGTTGCGCAATGTTGCGACAAATATTTCGGGTCACGCAGTGTCGTCAAAATTATTTGGATGCGAAAAAAGCGACATAATAATTTTGAGTCGCGATGATTGCAACATACCGTTTTTGACTGCGCAAATTTTTTTGCCTCGTAGAGAATTTTCAGTTGCGTGAAGTCCCATTTATTCCCTTCTGAGTCGCGCAAAACTCCTCGGAAGCTTTGAGTTGCGGATGCACTATTTCTGAGTCACGATGATTGAACCTAACATTTAGGATCGAGCAGAATCTTCTTGGGCAAAAATGATCGGACAATTTTTGGTCGGGCAAAATCACATATTAATTTTTTGTACCAGAAAAAGTGTGGCATTCTTTTTTGACTCCCGCAAAGATCTGTGGAAGCGCAAAGTGTCAGCATATCCAATTTGACTTTTTTCCTTTTTCCCGCCACTGGATTTCAAGTTTGAAAACTGTTTTAGCGTTGTCTTAATGCAATAAAATTAAGTGTGGATAGCAAACCAGCACTTTAAACAAATATAGTTTTCAACTTTTCACACTTTACAATGTAATATCAGACATTTAAAAGTTTTAGTGAAACAACTAGGGAAAATAGGTGCAAAAAGAAATATGATGGAAAAGAAAAAGAGCTACCGCTTTGAGTTGCCATAGTCGCAACATATCGTGTCATAGTCGCAACATTTCGGTCTCTATGTCGCGCAGAAAACTTTGGTCAAAGTTTCAACAAACCTTTCTAGGTCGCGGAAAGTAGCATCATAACTTCGCATGTGGCAAACTGCGGCATAATAATTTTGAGTTTTTTTGGTTTCATTTGGATGCGCGAAAACCTAGAAAAATTGAAATTTGTGTCGCGCAAATTTTTGTAGTGTTTTTATGCGAGAGTTGCGAGATATCTTTTTTGGCATTGGTTGCAAGAATTTGTTTTTGGTTCACCCAAAATTAGCCAATTTTTCCTAGTCGCGCAGAATTTATAGGTAGCACAAAGTTGCAACATATCTTTTTTGGTTAGCGCATTATCTCGACATACGGATTTGGGCTGCGGAAAACTAGGTCACTACTATGGCATTTTGAGTCAACTAGGGAATTTTTAGTCGCTAGGGTGCAATATGCCTATTTTGAAACGCAATGGTTGCGACATAAATTTTCTGAAAAATCCGCCTCTCAGTCGAAATTTCACTGGTTCGAGTCTCACCATAAACCGTGCTCACAGTCTCAACTCAAAAAACGGATTCTTAAATTTGTATAGATAATAATCAAGTTCAATGAACTTATCGCTGAAAATGAAAGAGTTTATGTTAGAGCACCTTGTTCTTTCAAACTTATAACTTCCTAAGTTTTTTTGTTAGTTCATAAAAACCTTTCATTTTTTTGTGTCTTTGAAACTAGAATTCGAAATTTTCCTGTTTTGAAGATCTAACTGCCAACGATATATTTATTTTCTTAGCAGTCCAGCAGTCTTCTCAAATTAAACTGATGTTTCCTTGTTACGATATTTACTAACGCGCCTCTCCTCCTCCAATCACCCCCCCCCCCCCCCCCCCCCCTGTGCATACCTGGGCGGGATCGATGGGGTAAATGTCTCCGTATCCGACTGTGGTGACTGATATGACGAGGAAGTAGAGGGCGGCAATGAAGGAGAGGTCATTCTGGTGCATGAGAAGGGGTAGGGGTAGGAAGAAAAACAGGCCGAAGATTATGGTAGTCCAGATGATGTAGTAGGTCACTTCTAAACAGTTAAAATTTAGTTTGAGCCCAAAAAATTAACTGACCAGGGATGGATTAGATTTTTTGGGAGGGCTGGGGGGGGGGGGCAAATTAAAAAAAAAAATGAAAATTTTGTAATAGTTAAAAAATTATTGAAAAAAAAAATACTTTTTTATTAGGTCAACAAATTTGGTTTTCCAATTTTCAGAAAAATGTTTGAGTCAATCCATGTGGCTGAATATACCTGGAAATGTACCAAAAATGTTGTTTTAATTCGGCAAAAAATTTGGCAGACTTTATGGCTAAAAAGTGGCTCTAAGGCGCCTTAAGATTTGGCTAGGGTCAGTTAGCTTTAAATGGATGCCATAAAACATTAACAAACGGAAAAGTTTTTGAGAACGGACATCCACCCCGGCCAGTCATCCAAATCTGATGCTATGTCAGTTTTGATCAGGGGGGTATTTAGGGATTCGACCTCCTGCCGACCCAAAGGGTCCCTCCCCCCTTTGTACTATTTTGAGATATCCATTTTTGGTGCCGGAACCTCAAACTTTTCTAAGAGCGCCTTCGGCGCCAATATATAGTAATTTTGAGGGGAGAGCGCGCGCCGAAAAAACGCAATTTTTATGGTAAAAATTTTCCAAAAAGTGCCTGAAAACGCCTTTTTTGGCCTGTTTTTTTTTCATGATTTTGCCTGTAGCGCAATACTTTTGGTCAAAACCCAAAACAGTCTTTTTAGTATTTAGTACCACTGGAGAACTCGGAAAATCAAAATGGTCGGCTTAAAAAAAGTCGACAAAAAATTCGTTATTTTTTTGAAAATCCCCTCACCCCCCCCCCCCCCCCCCCCTCGAAAAAAATCCTAGATCCGCCGCTGCTTTTGATATAGATAGGCGCCAAGTTACACTCTTACACGTTGTGGTTCACTTAACCGTTTTTAATTAACCTTCAAATAATTTTTTTGGGTATTAAAGTTTTTTTGGCATTAAATTTCGGGAAATTAATAAACTTTGACGAGAAAGAGGCTGTTTTAATCATGCCAATCATACTGCATGTTAAAATTTATTTCATTCTAAACTTCAGAGAAATTGATCCTTAGTACCAAATGGGCTAGTATCAAGGCTATTGCCGAGAAAGAGAGGGTTCAAATGGGGTTTTGGTAGAGCTCGATTGATTCGAAAAGGCTGACCTAAACAAAGCAAACAAAACAAATTTTTCAAAAAACCGCCCCTCATCTTGTAAAAAAACTCCCGAGCAGCAGACAAATGGATAGTATAAACTAACTGCTTCTCTTGGACGATGACTCATGCACTCCCAGGGTGCACCTGCACTTGTAGAACATGAAGCTGAAGAGGGTGCTGAGTTGGCTGCAGCAGTAGAGGAAGAGGGGGATGCCCACTATGGTGTAGAGGATGGTCAGGGCACGCGTGCTGTCCATGGTCGGGTAGATGTTTCCGTACCCTAGAAGCAAAACAGCGTCTCACTTCCTCAAATGTGCTCTGTATATTAAAAAGCAATTCAGCGTTTGGACAGTTGAGTGTCTGTAGTTAAATACAAAATCAGTTAAGCACTTGAACAGTTGTTGGTGTCAACACGTGTTTGATCGAGTTAAATTAAAAGTCAGCTCCTAAATTTTGTGGCTTGTTGATAAAAAACACTACAATTAAAAATATCGTTAGTTAAAAAAAATTTTGTTTAAGAAAAATGTATAACTAATATATATGACTATTATAACTATATTATAAAGTTTATGCAATAACACCATTTTTTCGCTTGTGCCGGTGTCGAGAATAGTTTGTTATTATACTTAAGTTTGATTTATTAACGAAAACCCTACGTGTGCCGGATATGGTCTAATTTTTTTGAATTTGCTCAAATAGTTATGGAGAAAGGGAGCAAAAAGGGTCAAACATAGCCAAAAGACAGTTGCAAAAGTGCCAATGAATACAAGTACACAGAAAAAATACACAGTTTGTAATAAAAAAGATGGCCTTAAAGCTCACTGAGTTTCTAGAACAATTTATGATTGACACTTGTTACACGAATTTTACATAATTTGAGAAAACTGTACCAAACTGTACCAAAAGGTGATTTTTTTTCGCTGGGAAACTTTTCTTCCATTTTCGACACTAGAAGTCATTTCTGTTTTTCTTGACGTTTTCAGTTTTGGTGTTTGATAGTAGAGTTTGCTTTCCTTTTAAAAACGAAATGAGCTGAAGGGGAAAAGAAATCCACACTCAAACAGCCAAAAACTGTTTTTAAATGAGCCTGAACAAATTTTAGGATTTTACAAAACAAATTGCAAAAAAAATCATCGCAACATATATATGAGTCTGGACTACGTTCATCGACTCTTAAAAACTGTAAGTCAGTGATTTCCACATTTTCTTTGCAGTTTCATTTCATTAGATGGCTAGAATTTAACTTGCACCCCATCGTTTTTCCCAGCACCGAGAGTTTTTGATAATTCTTCATTATGCAGCTACAAAAGCAATGATTCTAAATAAAAAGTCAAAAATCAATTGATGAAATTTGCAAAAAAAAATGTGGAGTTAATTGAAAGCAATAACTACTGAACAGCCGATTCAAAAAGGCTGTCTTTTTGCATTGTATCAAAAATCTGAAACTCGGCAAATCATGGTTAAGAAATAAATTAATTAAAAATCAGTGAATTTACAATTTTTTGGCTTTTGTTTCAAATTAGGTCGTTAGAATAGTAATTTGCTTTGTTGGCGCGAATTTAATTTGTTTTTTAGTTCGGCTCAAATTTTCAAAAAACTGACGTTGCTAACACCTCCTTAAGCATTGAAATGTAGGGTTACGTAGTAGTATTTAGACAACCGCGTATTCAGACTCGACAGTAAGTAGACAAATACTGTATTAACCAATCAGAATCGAGACAAGGACGAAATGAATAACTAATTATTTTCTATTTCATAAATTTGTTTTCTCATCTCGATTCTGATTGGTTAATATGGCATTTGTCTGCTTACTGACGAGTATGAATACGCGGTTGTCTAAATACAGACGGCACTCCGAAAGGTAGATAGTTATTAATCTCTAATATGGTAGTAAGTTTTCAATAAGCTCAAAAATGGTTGAAAGACGATCATGGTGTTTATTAACCACAGGAATACAAATAAAGAAAGACGATCATGGTGTTTATTAACCACAGGAATAAAGCATTTTCCGACACTGAGTTAAGCTCAGATATTAAACTTATGTAGTTAAAGCAAAAATGGAAATTTGGGCATTAATTAACCCCTAATCTTAAATATATGTCCACCTGGTTGTCATAACCAGCAATTTTTGTTACATTTTTTTGATAGAAAATAGAAAAGATTTGAATTAGAATCAAATCAAAATGAAATATCGTAGAAAAGGAAAATTAAACAGACAATTTGCAAACTGTTTAATAATCAAAAAGATAAATTTATTAGTTTCTCTTTGGTTTTAATCCTCTGCATCAATCCATGTTCACATCTTTAGTACAGAAAGTCATCCTGAACTTTATGAAGCAAAAATTTAACGTAAACAATCTTAAGGATGATGCGGTCAAATTTTCAAAGTGTTGCTTCTGAAAATTTGTTGTTTTAAGGGTTTAAATGCCTGCGTGTTGTGGATTCTAAACTACCGAATTAGTAATGTGGCCAAAATTTTGAGGAGTGAATCATAAGAGTCTCAAAGACTGCATACAGCCACCAACAATCGATTGCGTTGGTTAAAAGAAATTGGTACCATGGGTATTGAAAGGCTACAAAAAGCCACCAACATATGCTGGCATAAATCTGCGGCGGGTCGGGTCGAAAAACTATGTTCGCCCATTTTAAGATCATGAAAAATTGTAGCAACATACTCAATTTGTTGAAAAATGAGAGATAATTTTTCCCTTTTTGATGAACATCTTCTAGTTTGCATTTGTAACTTGAAAACTATAAGGCTTAATAATTAATGTCATCGGTCCCTACTTGGGCCCTAAGAGAAAACTGATGGTGCAAATTAACTTCGCAGAATGAGTTTGTTACAATTTTACATTGGCTAGTTCTTTCATCAAAGGTTTCACTCTATTAATTCTCGTTATTGTACGTAGGGTAATTTGACATTCCCTTAAGTGTAATACTGAATTTTCAGTTAATAAAACCGCCTGAAAATGAAATTATTATAGACTCGTAAGACTTTATTGTTTTAAAATCCTGGCCTTTTGCAATTATTTTGCAAATATTTTGATATCGAAAAACTTTTTTGTCTGAGCCATTGGGTTCCGATCTCTCTATCTTTATTTGATTTTGAGGATGGCCCAAAATTGTTAGCGTACTTGACTGTTTTCGATCTCGGTTAAGAATTAGATCCGTGTTCATGCATTTTGGCATATCCTTTTGGGTGTCATACAGAACTGCTATTCATTGTAGTATATTTGTAGTATAATACTCGTAATCTTATTTTTTAGTAAGAATAAATTAGATTTACTGCTCAGTATACAAAACGTTAGGTAAACTTCACAAACTTAAAGCGTTATAAAAGCTTTTATGAAAACTTCACATTTATAATTATTTTGAAGCAGGAAGAAATGGGTTCATTTTAAATATATGTTTTCAAACGTTTGGCCTATTACACCTTTGTTTATATCTACTTTTGATTCTCTGGTATTTTTTAGTACGATAGGCATTGACTTAATTTCATTCCTACAAAAAGCGTTTTTTGCGTTAAAGCCTTTTTGTTCTAAGGACTTATCAATTCTAAACGATGTTCCTACTTTGAAAACTATGCTTGCTGGAGAAATTGAAATTACCCGGGATGATTTTAGTGCAAAAGTTATTTTTTTATCAAGAAGTACATTTTGATAAAAGCTTAGATATGGATAACTTTTGCTTCTTATAATACTGATAGGAACTGTTATATCTGGGTATTTTTTTAATTCTAAGTTCAAATTTGGAAAGTTTATTGATTTAAGGTTGTGAGAAATGAAATTCATTCCTAATATATTTAGATCGCATCCGTTCTCGGCTGAAATCCATGCTTTGATTTTTACCGGATTATCAGTGTTTTTACCAAAAGTTGAGTCAAAATTAGTATAACCTATAAGTTTAAGTTTTTCTCCATTAACAGCAACTGTGTTTGATCTAGATTTATTCAGCTGTAGAGGTTGTATTTTACAATATTGTTCATAACTGTCAAAATTAATAAGCGAACATGTTGCTCCGGTGTCCAGTAGAAATTGGGCTTCCAGACCGTTATTTTTATTTTTGTCTCCGACGGGATGTTGGTATAAGTTAATGTATAATTGTATTTTTGGTTCAGACGGAGACTGATCTAGTTTAAATCAACAAGTTCACACTCATTATTGGTATAGTCTCCTAAAATGTCACCATCACTAAAGTTGTGGATCTGGTAATGTGAATGATAATCGTTATTTTCGTTGAAGGGTTCTTTACTGTTCGACCTGTCACGCGATTGAGAACTTTCATTGTAGTTTGACAAATGCCTGAATTCATGTTGGGGATTTATGTCATTGAAATTGTTGTCTACCCTTGACCTACTCTTGCTGTAGTTATGGTAACTTCGGTTTGAATTCTCTCTTAATTGAAGCGAGTCATAATTTTGCTCCTTTTGATCGTTATATTTAAAGCAATGTCTTATCGTATGGCCTGACATGCAACACCAGTTGCAAAACATTGGGTTGTTTTGTTGGTTTCTATGCTCATGTGGATTATAAGCTGCGTTTATTTTATGATCCTTCATTAGTCCTGTTAACTGTTTAAGTTGATCCTTTATTCCCTCTATTTCTAATTTATTATCTATGCTATTGGATGCTGTTCCAATAAACTCACTACTTGTTGCAAAACTTAAGTCTTTTGTAGCATTATGATCTTTTAATTGTTGCCAAGTTGCAGGTGAATTCTCAATTAGGAATTGATGCGCCTTTTGTTTCAAGCCTGGCGGGCTTAAGCCGCGTACAAAGAATTCCATTTTCTTTGCTGTTCTTTGATCATCATTAAAAACTGGATTAGGCCATCCACGGTCTACTGCGGTGCTTAATCTATGTATGCAGCTTTTAATGAATTCATCAGGTTGTCTTGTTATGTTTTCTGCTTCTATTCGTCTCCTATACTTATCCTTATCATCAGTGAATCTATCTATGAATTGATCTCTTATCTCATTCCAAGGTAAGTTTGCTGCTAATCCCTGATACCATTGAGCGGCTGGACCTCTTAATATGGAACCAAATAAGGCTCTTTGTCTGTTATCATATGCGTCTTGTTCGTCACCTGCGTCTCCTGGTCTAGTGCCAAGGGAAAATGCTATCTTTTTCTCTACTATATCAAGAAAATCTCTTGCATCTTCATTCGGATCTAAGCCGGTAAACTTTTCGAGAGCTAAATCTGGGTATGCTACTACGTTTACCATCTTTGTTTAATTCACTCAATGCTTTGTTAACAATATATAAAGTGTTTGGATGTGTT